GTAGAGATGGGGTTTTGCCATGTTGGCCAGGCTGGTCTTGAACTCCTGACCTCAAGTGATCCACCCACCTTGACCTCCCAAAGTGCTGGGATTACAAGCGTGTGTCACTGTGCCTGACCAACCACAGCAATCTTGAGTAAGAACAGAGTTGGAGGATACTTTGTTAGTCAGCTAGGGTTGCCTGAACAAAGTATCACAGACTAGGTCACTTAAAACAGCAGAATGTGTTCTCCCACAGTTTTGGTGGCCAGAAGTCTGCAATTAGGTGTCAGCAGGGCTGCACTCCTATCAGAGGTTCAGTCGAGATTTTGTCTCTGTTCCCTTCCAGCTTCTGGGCTTCCGGTGGCTCTTGGCATTCCTTGGCTGTGGCCACATCGCCCTACTCTCTGCCTGCAGCCTGGCATGCTCTTCTGCTCTATTTTCTCCTCTGTGCATCTCTCATAGGAACATTTGTTATTAGATTTAGAGCCCACTCTGATAATCCAGCACCATCTCATCTTAAAATATTTCACTTAATTGCATCTGCAAAGACTCTTTCTCCAAATAAAATTGAATTCACAGTTTCCAGAGATTAGGATGTGGACATATCTTCTTGGAGGCCACCATTCTGTTATAGAGAGTGTTCAGATCCCAACTTCACAACTTACTATAAAGCTGCACTTATCAAGGCAATAAGACACTGTTGTAAAGATAAACAGAACAGAATTTGACAGTCCAGATATAAATCCTTATATTTATGGTCAATTGACTTTTAACAAAGACGCTAAAGCAATTCATTGCCAAAACTTTTCCAACAAACAGTGCTGGGATAACTGGATATCCATGCAAAGAGATGCTGTTGGGCCCTTACCTCACACCACACACATACACTGCTCCTGTTTGCTGCTTGATGCCAGGCTCATGCTGGAAGTCTGAGGCCGTCTCTGTTGTCCTGGTCTAGTCTCAGTCTGGGGCAGGTTCTCTGCACCTGGTTTCAGGGGTGGGATGTTGCCTGCCTTCCTACCCTGATAACTTGGACTTGTGCCTGTGATTGGTCTTGCTGGGGAGTTCTCTGTACCTCTGTAGCAGCTGCAGCTTCTGTTTAGCATCAGGGTCAGATCCAGCAGGGCCCAAGGTGCATTTCCACTTTACTCCCAGGGCAAAGTGTTTTTTCTTGTGCCCTTCTCTCCAGAAACAATGGGCTTTTGCCTGTGCCCTGGGGTTGCAGATTTCACTACCCCTCCACCAGCAGTGTAAGGCTTTTGCTTCTTAAGACTGAAGGGTCTGGGGACATGGGCAGTCATTAACGTGCATGCCAAATTAGAGAAGTTGTCTGTTATCAATCAGTTATCAACCACGTCCAGGTTATTTGGAGCCAACTGTTACAGAAGCCAGGGTTTAGATTGTTGCTAAAGATGGCCATGTGGCCTGCAAGTCTAACTCACCGTAGGTTTGCTTCCTGAGTTGTTATTGTAGATTTGTGTGGGTTTCCTGGGCAGGTTGTAGGTCAGAGTTCTGTTTTCATCCATGGCCTAGCCATATTCCATTTATATATTCAGTCTCTCATGGCCATGTTGTCAGGGCTATGTTCTCCAGCAGGACAGGATAAAGTCTTTAGGATGCTGAGCTCCTTCAGGATGAGGTCATGTTTTAGGGCAAGTCCATGGCTTAAGGCCAAGGGCTCCCTCAGGACAGGGTCATGGTTTTCGCACTGTAATTGTGAAATTATATTGTGAAAGCCCTCAGGAGAGGGCTATAGAGAAACTCAGCATCAGGGCTATCTCTGGATAGCCCTCAGGAGAGGCCTATCACAACTGTAAAGGTGGGAGCTGCCCCAGGACAAGGCCAAATAGACTGGGGCCTCAGGGCCATGAGCTCCCACAGACAGGGCCCTGGCTTCAAGCTCTGGGCAAACTCCGGACAGGATCAGCAGCTGGGAGCTCCTTTTGGACTCGCAACTCTCTCAGGACAGGGGCCAGGCCTTTGGCACAGTGAGCTCCCCAGGGACACAAGCCCAGTCCTGTGTCCCCAGCGCGAAGCAAATCTTGGCACCAGCTGCCTTCAGCAGTGGCTTTGCCTGATTCTTGAAGATTCTCAGCAAAGAAAGGGGTGGCTGTGCAGGTGGGGGCTGGGAGGGGGCTGTCCCCAAGGCTGGTGAGTGGCCAGAGAGTGAGCAGAAGCAGAGGTCCCAATATCACTCCACGATCTCTTCCCAAATCTGCATCAGGAACATGTGGCTCAAATCTCTTCAGGTTCCGGTGCTTAGCACTTGGCAAGGATTTATGTACATCCTATACATTCCAAATAAACCCCCCTGGAGGCTGAGGCTGGGAAAGGTCTTTCTCCCCAAGGGGACAGACCGTGAGTGCACAGAAAGCAGCTTCCCTTAGCGTGCTCATCAGCACTCGGGCCTTTTGCCTCAACCCCTGCCAGAAGCTGCCGACAGGTGCCTGTCACTCTGTCACCCACACACGCCTGGTAGCACTAGCCAGGGCATACATGTAGGAGACGCAGATTGTCTGGGCATGGACCAGAACTGGCCTCCAAAGTCCCCACCTGGATCTCCCTTGAGCCCTCAATTCAGTCACACTGACTTGTGCTCCAGCTGAACTCACCACCCCTTTGCATGTGCAGGTCCTTCTTCTCATGGGGCTGCCTGTCCCCTCTTAGTCCCTGGTAAGAGGTCTCCTGAAACCCCTGGCCCCAGAAAGAGCCACACTTGTGAGTTCACCGAGCACAGTCATCATCACTTTTTTTTCTCACAGAGTGAGCGGCCCCTCCTATAAGTGTTTGCAGCATCTTGTAATCAGAGAACCTCTCTGAACCTCTGTTTTGTCTTCTGTGGAACGAAGTCGTCATGGTATCTACCAAAAATATGGGACTAGGGTAAGGCAAGTGAAGCACTTATTGAAAGCACAACTTTCAGTTGGGCGGGGGGCGGGTGGTGTATGTGCAAAAATCCTCAGTAATTGAGATAAATAATATTTTAGCACAATCTATTTAAAAATCAAAATTAACTCAAAGATATCCATGATAAAAGATCAAAATTGTGACTAGAGGCAGGAAAGACAGGATTCATATTTCTGCGGTTTCCTTTGGCTTCAGGAAACTGTTCGGTAACTGTGAAATAAAGGACCTTAGATTTGAGGACTCTTCAAAGTTATCTTAGCAAGCCTTCTCGTTGAACATGATAGAAACAACGGCTGAGGGATGGGGCTTACTCCAAGTCAATTACAGGGCCGGAGCGGGGTGCAGGGTCCTGGACTCGCCCAGGGCTCTCTCTGGGGTCTGCACATAGACCCCCTTACCTCCGAGGGAAACCCTGCAAACTTCAACCACGGGCCCCACCAATGTTCCTGGCAGTGCTGATCAAGGGAGGCCAGCCGTGTCTCCAGATGTCAGTGCAAACTGACCTCTTCTGCAAAGTGACCAAAGTCCCCTCCCACCCTAAGAATCCAGCCCCTTACTTTCCCCATTCTACTCCATTTCCCTCTGGCTATTCAGTTCCAACCTAATTTATGTTGTTTGTTTATTCTAGTTGGTTCTATCCATTCCTTTCTACCTCCTAGTGTAGCCCACTCTATTTTATCGACTTTGACCTATTTTGTCCATTTATTCCATCCTGGTTTATAGTTTCCATTCTAGTGTATACGTTCCATTCCTTTCTGTTTTATTTATTTTATCCATTCCATCCTTTTGGGTCCACCCCACCCCACTATGCTCCCGCACGCAGCCCCACTGAAGGGCCCCAGTGTTCGTTTAGAAGGGCACGGTGGAAACATCCATGTCTGCAAGCCTAACTCCCAGGGGCTGCCCGCCACCTTTCCGGCAAATGCCCACATGAGCTCATGCTTTGTGGTTGGGGCTTTGAAAAAAAAAAAATCAACAAATTTGAAGGCAAAGCAAGGCCTGTCTTTCATTTGATAGCTCCCAGATCCATTTCTGATCAGCCTCCCATTATCAGAGATGTCTGCAAGATTTCAGCTGCAAACATTCGCCTCCACATTCACCTCTGCATCCGCTGCCAGCTGTCTGGGCACCTGTCACCTTGGGACTGCGCTGCAGACGGGGTTGGGAGGGACCTTGGGGCTTCATCTCGTCTTGACGCTTCCTCAAGAAGAATGTTCTTGGGGTGGCAGCCTGAGCTTCTCTCTTAACTGCCTTGTGCCTTCCACGCTTCCAGAATTGTCATTAAATAGTAGGAAAATCCACATGTATGCATGCACAAATGCACAAAATCTCAAATTCCACATACCTGGCCCAGCACCCTCAGCACCAGGCTCTGTCACAGAGATGAGGGCGCCCATCAGGCACTAAGTGAAACCTAGGGTTTGGTGCTTTCTTTTTCCTTTGTTGTTGCAAAAAAATGAGATCATTTATCTTGGAAATCCATGGTAATGGTCTGTATTCCAGACCTTTTTCTTTGCATTGACATGTATAGGTGGACATTTTCTCCAAAAAGTTGTTTAGTATTGTTCTGCCATGACTTTGTTTCACTCCTGGACATACTGTCATGTTGGCACATATAGATGTATCACATTTTTATTGGCTGCGTAATATTTCATTGTATGATGTATTGTTTTGTTTTGTGATTTCTCTGCTGAAGAATTTTTATTTTTGCTCTTACAAATAAAGTTACAGCAAACATTCTTGTTCATAGGTCTTTGCATACACATTTGTGTGATTATTCTTATTGAGTGAATTCTTAGAAATACTATTGTTTGGTTAAGGAATACCCATGTTTTAAAATTCTTAAGTACTACAAATTGTCCTTCAATTTGTCCTTTGAATCAGTCTTCTTTATGTGAGCAAGAGTGATCTTTGTAAAATGAATTTGGTCATGCGGTTTCCCAACATTAAAAACAAACGTGAAAAAACTGTCTGGAATTGTGGTGACTTTTGTGCCCCAGAGAAACTGGGCTGCAAATATCAGATACCCACAGATATCAAGGGACTGTCCAGGTGTGGCGACTCTGGGTCTTACCAGAAATGAAAGCTCCTTTCCTCTGCCCCAAGTTCACCTCCCAAGGCCATCTGAAACCTGCCGGTCAGATACAGGTTCTAGAGACTTTGAGGTGGGGCCCCCTGGGGCCGTGGCTGAGGCCAGACCAGCCAGGCCTGGACCAAAGCCCTCAAAGATGACACCAGTGGGCTGGAGACTCGGAGCCTGTGTCTCTTCGCTCCTTGGAGCTCTGGCGTCCTTTCCTATACAACAAGGGGAAAGCACCTACCCTGGATGGTTTTCACTGAATGAGAACGAACGATGAACTTGTTTTGTAAATGTCAGAGGGTGATCTGATTGCACAGCCTTCTTATGGAGCACAGAAAATACGATCATTCTTATGGCATAAAATAACGATTTAATCCATTCATTCCACATTGCTTTGTAGTTTTCATTCTGGTGCACACATCCCTTTTCCTTCCATTTGATCTATGTATCTATTCCATACCATTGGGTCCACAACCTCTCCCTTTCATGGGTGATGAGGACAGGGTGTGGGGGCCCCTTGGCCCCTTGGGTGGGCTTTTGAGGCACGGTGCCTGGAGAGAACATTTGGCTGAGCAGGTGGGTGGGGGGCTGCCCTGTGGAGAGGCACAGGCCAAGTCTGTCACCAGGGAGGTGAGAGGGCAGAGGTACCCAGCAGTCATGGGTCAGTCCCTGCCTGCCTGTGCCCCATGTCCACCAGACCCAGTGTGCCGGGAGCTGGGGAGACTCTGCCCAGGGGATCCTAGCTTCCCCCAGATGGTGGTGTCTGGGCTCACACTACAAAGCAGGTGGGGCCATCACAGGCACAGCCGGGAGACCCCAGCTGGAAGCCGTCACTCATCCTTCAGACAGGAAGTCTGAGGTTCTGGTAACTCCTCCCAGACCCTGCACAGACCTGCAATGAGGATTGGGGTTTCCCACCCCAGGCCTCGACTCCACCTACAGAGGTCCCATGTGGGCCTCAAATGCGTGTCTTACGTTCAACAGAAGATGCCAGCCAGGATGCAGGGACCCACCCCGAGCCTGGCAAGCAGCTGCAGGGGGCTGAATCACAGTTACACAGCTTTGGGCCCTGGTGCAGGGTCTGGTCCAGAACAGAGGTTCCGTGAACAAGGCGACTCCCTGACTTGCTGCCCTCTCGGGCATACAGCAGGCAGTAAGCACCGGGCTCGGTGTGGACCAGCGCATCGGGGGCAGAGTGGGGCATGAGGAGCCCTGGGGTGTCCCACCCTGCAGCACCTGCCCTGCCCCGGGAAGCCTGTCTCCTTCTGACTCAGAAAGATCATGTGCCTGCGTACCTGGAGCTTTGGACACAGAAGCTCCTGGGGACAGCAGCCGGGTCTGTGACTGGCCATCCTTGCCACACATTATTAGCAGAACAGCCCCTGCAGGGGCTAGAAATTGGTTGAGCCTCCTGGTGGGAAGATCCAATTTTCACCTGAGCAGAAGTAGGAGGAGGGAGGAGGAGATGCTGCTTCCTGAGGGGCCCAGCACCGCCCTCTTATCTCAGCTGTGCCCAAAAGGTATCGGCTGCCCATCTCCCAGCCCAACTGAGCAGACAGGTGCTGGCCGACACAGCTGGCCCTGAGGTTCCTGGGAGCACACACCATGAGCTCTGTGGATCTGTTTCCTTGTCTGAAAATGCAGGAGCTGCATGAACCTCTGAGTTCTGAAATCTGACTCGAAGCCCCCCAGCCAGCTCTGAGCTGAGTGTATCAGCCACTCGACAAAACGCCTGGGGCACCTGCTCTGTCCCAGGTGCTGGGGCTCTGATCCAGGCCGGCCTGGAGGGTGGAGTCTCACAGGAGTGATACCTCTGATACGGGATTCACAGGGCAGGGGACGGGGACAGAATGCAGGCTACAGTGGGAGCTCTGACAACGGGCATCTGGCTCTGGCCAGAGGCTGTTACTTATTCATTCAACAAACATTTATTGAGTGTCTTCTCCGCGCCAAGCTTTCTAGGCAAGCAGCAGCAGCGGACAAGGTCCTTAGCTTCCAGGAGCTGACATTCCAGTGGGTAGGAGGCAAGAGAGGAGCAAACAAATGAACATGTCAGGTAACACCAGGCCACAATCATGCTGTACAAAGACAAGACAGGGACTGGGTGAGTGGGTGTGGCTATGGCTGATGGGGACAGGGCTCCTCTAGATGGGGGTTCAGAAGGAGGGGCTCGCTGAGGAGGAGACAGCTGGGTAAAGCCCCACACGGCTGCCCCAGCCAGGGGCCATAATTTGGAGTCAGGGCTGGCAGGACCCACAGGACTTGCTGGCGGCAGGGACGGAGCTGGCTGGGAGGTCCCTGGGCTCTGGTCTGAGCACGGGGTGGATGGCACTGCTGGGGGCCGCAGCCAGAAAGCTGGGGAGCAGCAGGAACATAGAGGGAGTCTCTGTTTTTGTCCTCTCAAGTCTGGAACATGGTGATTTGGGAATTTGGAGGTTTGGTCCTCCTCCCTTCCAGTGTGTGGGCTGGACGTGGGGACTCGAATCCAGCAAATTGCAGCCCCTGTGTTGGACACTCAGCACCAACTGAGCTGTCTCCCACCCAGCTCTAGATGGCCATGTGGGGTCTCTCTCCCTCTCTCCCTCTCTCTGTCTCATTCTCACTCTCTCTCATTCTCTCTCTGTCATTCTCTCTCTCTCATTCTCTCTCTCTGTCATTCTGTCTCTCTCATTCTCTCTCTCTCATTCTCTCTCTCTGTCATTCTCTCTCTCTCATTCTCTCTCTCATTCTCTCTCTCATTCTCTGTCATTCTCTCTTTCTGTCATTCTCTGTCTCTCTGTCATTCTCTCTGTCATTCTCTCTCTCTCATTCTTTCTCTCTCATTCTCTCTGTCATTCTCTCTCTCTGTCATTCTCTCTCTCTCATTTTCTCTCTCTCATTCTCTCTGTCATTCTCTCTCATTCTCTTTCTGTCATTCTCTCTCTGTCATTCTCTCTCTCTCATTCTGTCTGTCATTTTCTCTCTGTCTGTCATTCTCTTTCTGTCATTCTCTCTCTTTCTCTTTCTCATTCTCTCTCTGTCATTCTCTCTCTGTCATTCTCTTTCTGTCATTCTCTCTCCCATTCTCTCTGCCATTCTCTCTCTCTCATTCTTTCTGCCATTCTCTCTCTCTCATTCTCTCTCTCTGTCATTCTCTCTCTCATTCTCTCTCTCTCTCATTCTCTCTCTCTGTCATTCTCTCTCTCTCATTCTCTCTCTCTCATTCTCTCTCTCATTCTCTGTCATTCTCTCTTTCTGTCATTCTCTGTCTCTCTGTCATTCTCTCTCTCTCTGTCATTCTCTCTCTGTCATTCTCTGTCTCATTCTCTCTGTCATTCTCTCTCATTCTCTTTCTGTCATTCTCTCTCTGTCATTCTCTCTCTCTCATTCTCTCTCTCATTCTCTTTCTGTCATTCTCTCTCATTCTCTCTCTCATTCTCTTTCTGTCATTCTCTCTCATTCTCTTTCTGTCATTCTCTCTCATTCTCTTTCTGTCATTCTCTCTCTCTCTGTCATTCTCTCTGTGTCATTCTCTCTCTCATTCTCTCTCTCTCTCATTCTCTTTCTGTCATTCTCTCTCATTCTCTTTCTGTCATTCTCTCTTTCTCTTTCTGTCATTCTCTCTTTCTGTCATTCTCTCTCTGTCATTCTCTCTCTCATTCTCTCTCTCTCATTCTCTCTCTCTCATTCTCTTTCTGTCATTCTCTCTCTCATTCTCTCTGCCATTCTCTCTCTCTCATTCTTTCTGCCATTCTCTCTCTCTGTCATTCTCTCTCTCTCATTCTATCTCTCATTCTCTCTCTCATTCTCTCTTTCTGTCATTCTCTCTCATTCTCTTTCTGTCATTCTCTCATTCTCTCTCATTCTGTCTCTCTCTCATTCTCTCTAAATCTCTGTCATTCTCTCTCTCATTCTCTCCCCCCAACCTCCTCCCTTGTCTCTTTCTCCTCCTGAATGGAAGGAAGGAGGGATGGAGGGATAGCAGACAAGTATCTCCTCCGAAGAACCTGCCCCTCCTGGGGCCTCAGTTTCCCCATCTGGAAAACATCAAAGTAGACCTGATGTTCTTCTTTGAGCTGTTGTTTTCTGTGGGTTTTATTGCTTTGATGCTTTTGAGCTCGGTCAGCAAATTGTTCCCTGTTTTCTTTCTATTTTGAGAAGGCTTCTTTCCCTGGTGAATGCAATTTTCAAGTCTCTCTTCCATCATACTTCTTTTAATGATATAGTCTTTCAAAGTGGCCTTCTATTTTTACTTTTCCTTTGGCAAGATAATTTCTAGCCCTTTTCTCACCACCCAACTCAATTTCCTTTGTTAATTTCCAAGCCTCTTCTTTCCACAGGGGCCTCACCTCTTAGTACTTAATTGATTTCTTCTATCACGTAATTCCACGGTTTCATCAATAAGCAATTTTAGACCCATTGTCAATTTCTATTTTTTATACCATTTGATCTGCTCAGAGGCCGAGAACATGGATTAGACACAAGATGAGATTTCATTATCTCTTAGACGCCAGTTTTCCCCCTGGCCCCGTTCGCTGAAGCAAGAATGTCTTCTGGACTTTGCTATATTCTCTTCTAATTAATTACTTTCCTTTTTATTCACTTCCCTGACTTCAATGTTGTGAGTTGAAAGTGTAAATTAATACACGTCTCTTGCTTCGATTGTCATTTTAATGTTAGGGGACTTTGCACATATGCATTCCCCCAGCCCTGCAGCCTCCTGTAGACATGGACAGTGACTGCAGTGGAACTCTGGGTTCAGTGGGGCTTTTCCTGTGCCCGGCCCTGCCGAGGTCCTCTGCCTGCTTCAATGCCTTCTGTAGCTGCTGCTTCCTGCCGCACACACAGGCCCCGGGGGAGGCAGAGAGCAACAGGAGTCCACGGGGGCCAGCCAACTTCGATAGACCGAGCAGAGCCCAGGAGTTATGTCTCCACTCGGCAAACATGAGCCCCGCAGGAGCCCCTTGCTTTTTGCAGATGGGTTTTGACATGGCCAAGACTCTGCAGACCCTGTTAAGACTTTTTACCACCTTGAGGAGAAACCTGTCAAAAACATTCCAGACTGCATTCAGCTGGTATCGACCGCCTCCGCCTTTGCCTCTCTGGAGAGGGATTAGTTACCATCTGAGCCGAGTGAACTGCACATGGAGCCCGACACCCCTGCAGCCTGCCCTGGATCCTACCTGCCGGGAATCTCCGGGTGCGTGGGAACTGTCTTTCCTAAGATCATGATTTCTACCGCAGGTGGGACAGGAGGCACTCTACCTCTTCCATGTTTGATCCTGAGCGATGGCACGCCAGGCAGAGGCTGCAGCCCCGTGCTGGCCAGAACATCCACCATCCACCACTCTTCTCAGGCCCTGCAGCTGCCTTTCCCATCTGGATGTGGGCACGGTCACCCTCCGTGGGGCTAGGCATGAAAGCAGCTTCCTTGTCTCCGCTCTTCTGTGAGAACAGCCATCAGGAGGCTGTGTTGAAAGTCAGCCGTACCCCTAAGTGTGCCTGTGTGCACCACGAAGAGGTCGGGGGGCACGTGGCTGTGAGATCATGGCTGCTGCTTCTTTGGGAGGACTCTCAGGGGAAAACAGCCATCTGGTCTCTGTATCAAAAAGAGCCACATGCCTCCTGACCCACTAGTGTGGCATATCTAGTTGTCCTTTCACTCATGTAGACTGATCATGCTTCTTTTTTCATTGTGGCTACTAGGAAGCTCAGTAAATAGGATTTCAAGGCAGGCACTTTGTGAGCCAGGCCTCAGATCTGACTCCACTTGCTGCTGTTGTCCATGCCTTCCTTCCTCATCTACTCATTTTGTTCTCCTGTAATTCATTCATTCATTCCCTTACCGACCACCACATCATACCAGACACTGGGCAAGGGGCTAGGATCACAGCAACACCCAAGTGCAAAGGTGCTTAGGGAGATTATAATCTAGCAACACTTAAAAGCAACAAGTCAATGTACAAGACCAAAAGTGCTGGGATGAGACTCAAACAGGAACATGGGATAGTAACTGGCTTGGGCAAGGACCTCTCTGTAATAGTGGTGATGTGTGGACAGCGAAGAAGAGCTCTCTGAGGAGGCGACATTTTAGCTGAGAATTGATTACTGAGAAGGAGCTGGATGTGGTGGTTAGGGTGGCAGAGCCTCATGCCTGGAAAGGGCCATGAATGTTCGGAAAATAACAAGGAGGTTTGTATGACTGGAGCCAGCGAGAGGAGGCAGGAAGGAGATGAGGACAGAGATATCATCAGCAGGGACCTTGCAGGCTTTGCCACCACTTGTGCATCTTAGGTCACCTTGAGCACACCTTTCCTGAAATCCTTCTCTGAAATAAGTAAATGAATGAGCAAATTTATATACAAACATATGCTTATCTGCATGCAACGACTCTGTGCCTTTTGATCTTTCATCAGCAGTTTGTCTAACATGGTTGTACAGTGTGTGCGTGCGTGCACAGAAAATGGCAGCGTCTCCATGCCTCAGTATTTGCCTTAGGGAACACAAACCCCAGCAATCCCTGTCTGGGGGTATTGTGGGCATTAAATGAGCTAACACTGACAGCGGGCTGACGGCCTGTGGAAGGGCTCCCTATGTGTCACCTCTCATTACCAGTGTGTGTACACTTGACATGTGGGACTGGTTAGGGAGGGCGTGAGTCTGGACATGGTTACTGACACGATTAGTTACATAAGATCTGACGATGAATGTTCCTGTGGACATCTGGCAGGACATATATAATCTAATACACATCCATAACATCTTTAGAGCTTGGGAAGTGTTTCCCCAGCTCTTCTCTCATTTGATTGGAGAATGACCTCAGCTTACGAGAACCTCCTAGCTGTCTAGGGCCATGGTTAGGATGAGTTTTTCCCCCACTGTGGGATTTGCTGAGGGTCCACAACCAGCAGTCATAGGAGGAGACCCAGCATGTCCAAGCACTGGCCAGGCCTGAGGGCTGGGGGCATGCGGCTGTTGGCTGAGCGGGGCCGCAGGGGCTGAGATCACTGTCTCCAGGGTCTCGTTAGGCGATTGTGGCAGAGTGGTGGAGAGCTGAAAAGTACAGAACTGAGCAGAGGTAGGGGCCCCGGGGCAAGGGGGCCTTGGCCGGTGTAATGAAGGACTTCCTGACACCTGGAGTTCTTCTCCCGAAAGTGGACAGGGCAGGCAGCCTTGCCAAAGGGTGAGCTCCCCATCCCAGAACCTGTAGCCCGGTTGTGATGCCTCAGCACCCTGGCCTTGAAGGAGGGGCTATGGGGGCTGTGAGCCCAGGCCAGGGGCTCCCTGCGTGCTATCCTACAATCCCCTTTCTTCTGGGCCTCTGTTTCCTGGTCTGAGAAATGAGGAAGTCACAAGAAGCTCCCAGGGCCTCTTCGTTCTCTGATGCCCAAATTCCACAGAACAACGAGGCTCTCTCAAGCCCATGGTGTTCAAGGAATAATTTGGAACATTGGTGGCCGGCCTGCCCCATCTCGCCAAACTGAGAACCAAGGGGTCCCGAGAACACATAGCTTTGGCTGTCTCTGCACCAATCCCTGCACCGTACGTGCGGAAGCAAGAGGTCTCGGAGACTGGCCTGCAAGGATCACGGGTAGCCTTTGCTTTCCAGAGCAGAAATCCTGGGGCTCAGGGCCAACCTGGAAACCGAGGAGGCCCTGTCTCTTCTCATTCTCCTCACCGCATTGGCGGCTAATTGACCACAGGACAGTATCTATGGCATGTATACAATAAACATGACTTCAGCCGTCTGGAACCATCTTCCTGTGGGGCTGTCCATCGCTGTGCGGCCCCCAGCCAAGTGCTGGGAGGAAGCTCCTGCTTTGGGGCCAAAGACAGTCTCCCTCCTAGACAGGATCTGCCTCCCCCCACCCCCCGCCGAGGGCACCAGCACAGCCTCCATCTCTGCCCTGGGGTTGGCCCTCGGCACACAGTGATAGGCTGGGGCTGCCTCTGCTCACCTGAGGGCGCTGGGCGGGGCTTTATGGGGGGCAGCACAACCGGGTTCCGAGACACTTCAGACACCTGGGGCTCGTTTCTTCCTCATGGTCTAGGAGGGTGACAGAGGAGGCACCAGTCACAAGAGGCCTCGAGGAGAGCCGATGTGTCCCAGACCCGGGTGCTGAGGGGCAGCTGGGGAGGAGCCATGGGTCCCTGGACAGAGGGTGGGGAGATGGCAGGAGGGGTCCAGGGACGGGTCCTGGCAGGGCACTGTGGTGTCACTGGCCACTACTTTAGAGAGGTTTTCCTTGGGAACCAGTGACTGGGCCGGGGACAGGAGGAGGATGGGCAGAGGGGACTCTCAGCAGGGTCACACACCCCGGCCCACCCCTCGGGCCATGCCACCCCCTAGACGGGGCCCTCCTCACACACCAGGGCATATGAGTCCCCTACCCGTGGTCAACTGAAGTCCAAAAATATTAAACAGAAATCCTAGAAAGAAACAATCCCTAAGTTTTCAATTGCATGTCGTTCTGCATGGTCTGATGAAATCCCTCACCTTCCCACCCTGGACACACCTCCCCCACTGTCCAGCGTCTCCACACTGTAGGCGCCCTCCCTACCTGTTGGTCACCTAGGAGCCCCCTCAATGACCAGGTCGACTGTCATGATGTCACAGTGCTGGTGGTCAAGTCACCCTTATCTTACCTCATCATGGCCACAAAGTGTGGAGTAGCAGTGCTGGCATATTGTTATAATTGTTCTATCTGATTATTAACTCTTGTGGTTAATCTCTTCCTGTGCCTAACTGACAAACTTTGTCAGAGGTATGCAGGTACAGGAAAAAACATAGTAGAATAAGGTTCAGTCCTACCCGAGGTTCAGGCTTCCACTGGGGGTCTTGGAATGTATCTCCCGCTGATAAGGGGGGACCCTTGTGTAAAGAGGGAACCCCAATGCTGATGCTGAGGCTGACGACATTCTGTTCAGGAGGGCAGCTGCATGCATTGGCCAGACTTCGCCTCTGCAGACTTACAGGAGGTTGTCACTGGATCCAGGTTACAGAACTGGCCTGTACCCGAAAACCAGTGTGTGCATGCATGGCTGTGCATTTGTGGATGGACACGTGTGTGCACCAAGGGGAGGGTGTATGTGGGTGTGGGGGAGCACGAGTACTTGTACCCAGGTAAGGGCACGTGTGCATGGCTCTGAGTGTGTCTGAGTGCCGGTATGTAAGGATGTGTGTTTCTGTCTGTGAATGTGTGTATACGGGGATGTGTGTGTGTGAGAGTGTGTGTGTGCCTGCGAGCGTGCCTGCGGGTGTGTCTGTGCGTGCTGGGAAAGGGGGTGTCAGTCCCATGATCTCCCCAGATGCCCAGGGACTGGGGCTGGAGCAAGTCCGTCCAGATGAGCAGGTTGACCTTCTCTTCAGCTCATCCTGGAAGGTGTTCCCTGGACCCAGTGTGGCCAATGCTTCTTGGGCTGGGCTGTTGGTGTCCACACACAGTATTACTTATGACTAAGGATCCTTGCTGCAGACAATGGTGGCTGCATCTGTCCCTGGCAGTAACAACCCTCCCCACTGTCAGTCATCCAGGAGGAGGCTGTGGTGGGGACACAAAGGGGACTGCGGCTGGACTGGGAGCCTTGCAGAGGCCCATTGGGACGGGCCTATTAGATTCTCTAGAGGTTCTATTGGAAAGGGGGTTAAGTAACCCTGCCAGAAGCAGGTGGGTGCTTTCACTGGGGTCCTCCCATTAGAATAGGAACCCCGGACTCTGGGACCAGCCATGTCTGCCACACTGATATGTGACTTCTGATCCTCTCCACCCTACAGGGACCCTCCAGTTCTCACCAGCCCTCTGGGGTCCCCCAACAGAAACATCTAGGGCAGGACATTGGGAGGCAAAGTCCAGAGCAGGAGGGTGGGAGGCAGCCCAGGGGCTCAGGCACAACAGCATTCAGAGGACGTGGGGCCAGCATAACCTCATTGCCTAGTCACAAGGCACAGGTGGACTCTGTGGGGCTATCGTAGACTCTGAGCTCTGTCTGGGCCACAGTCATGTCCGAGCTTCCCTTGGATCCCGACCTGCAGGCAGCATCTCCAGCTCTCAGGACCCCAGCCCGGGAGCCTGCAGAGGAAGACACGAGCTAATGGCAAGGAGGCGGCAGCCAGATGTGCGGGACAGTCAGTGTCACGATGCAGAGGCCCAGGTCAGCAAGGAGCAGGGTTGGAACTCCCCTTGGCTCTGTGCATCCTGAAAGGGAAGGCGCCTGGTGCCTCTCTACCCTTCAATGCAACTGGCGCTGTGGGGTATAATTATTTTCCTCCCTCCGTGCGAGCTGACACAGGCAGCAGCCCTGCGTGGTAGGAAGATGAGCAATAAAGTATTCTGAAATGAAGGCTCAGTGATCTGGAAGATTTAAAGCACCCTGCGTAGGAAGCAGGCTCGGGCAGCTCAAAGCTGGCTCCAGTGCCGGCCAGAGAGGAGTCTTACAGCCCCTCTTGGGTGGTGGCTGTGAGGTGTGGAGGGGAAGCAGGCATTGGCATCCAGATGTTAACTCTTGGAGAGGCCTGGGGGTGGTGGGTGACCTGGCCAAGACATGAGGAGCCTCGGGTTGTTTTATTGTTTGTTTCATAGGGCTGTTCAGGATTAAATATTTAAAGACTTTTAAAAATCAAGGCATAACATATACAATAAAATGCATGCATCTTAAGTGTGCAGCTGGATGCATCTCACATGCACAGACATGTAGGAAACCTCCATCTGATCACAGAACATTTCCACACCCAAGAGGGTACCCTCACCCCTCCAGTCAACAACTCCAGAAACAGCAGCAATGAAGCTGTTGGCATAGATGGTTCTTGCCTGGTCTGGGCAGATAGAAACGGCCCCATGTAGCATGTACATTTGTGTGGCTGCCTTCTTTAGCTCAGCAGTAGGTCTGTGAGATCCACCTGTGTTGTGACGTGCCAACAGCTCTTTCCTTTTCCTTGCTGTTAGAATTCTTTGCATGAATATAATGGGATTTACTACACATGTTACAGTGAATGGGCCTGGGCTCCCAGTCCCCTTGGTCCCCATCGAAGGCAAGCTGCTTCCTCTCCCGTCTGCTTCCCATCCTCCTGCCGACCGCAGTCACTGTCCATCCTCCCAGGCGCTCAGTATCTGAGGCTCACAGTGTCAAGAGTGGAGGAATCAGCCGGTCGGGCTGGCTCCCCACCCAGACTGGGGGACTCCTCACTGAAGGGCTCCCTCCTGGAAGTTCAGGGCATGAGAGCTGCAAACAGAGAGGCCAGGGGTGCTGACAGGTGGGCAGCCCTGGAGGACTCCTGGGGACAGGCCCACCCCGTCCCAGTGCTGGCCTTGATCTATCTAGGGCCCAGTCCCACCGCAGGCTCCTTTGGGCCCCTCCAGGGTCTCAGGGAGGAAGGCCCTGGAATGACCTCTCACCACCTCTCATCCTATTCCAGAGATTTCTGGATAACACTTGCGCTTGAGAGGCTGAGCTCATGGGATCCCGAGGAGGCAGAACTGCTGGAGGGGCCACCTGAGTTCTCCAGCCCTGGGAACACCCCCCTTCGCTCCGAACCAACAAAGGCGTCCTCACTCGCATTCTGAGGTCATGTCCTGGGATCGCTGTGTTGAGTAATTACTTACTGGAAGCCGTCCCTCCCTCAGGTGGTGGGTGGGCCGTGTGCACGCAAGTTCGCATTGTGTCCACAGAGGGAATATTCATGAACTCAGTGGCGGGGGTGGGGGGGTTTTGGAAGACAGACTTGGATTTCTAAGGGAGAAGATACTTACAAGACCTTGGTGGCCAGCCAGGTTCCCCCTCAGCCTTTCGGGCAAGGACCCCAGGAGGCCACACATCAGGGGAAGCCTGGAGGCCCTGGGGCCAAGTATTTGGTTCCTGTCGATGAACAATTTAATGAGAGTTTTCAGAAGGGCCAGACGGCCCTGGGATGAATGGCTCATCCCAAAATAGCCTCAGCTGGCACTTGGGCAGTTTAAAAGAGGCTTAAAAACAGAAAGAACCTTCAAAGAAGGGTGCCCGGGTGCCCCTGAAGCACTCTCATGCTGAGGCCCGGGAGCCTGCTCCCCAGGGACGCTGCCCTGCCCCACTCTGCCCTGAGCAGCCGGGCACAGATGCAGGCTCTCGCACCCGTCCTGGCAGAGGCCAGAAGGGGCTCGGTAGAAGGAGCCTTAGGTGAGCACCGTTCCCACCCAAAATGCCCGCCCAAGCTCCTATGCCACTGCCTGTGTTGGAAAAGCCCCTCTTGGCATCCCCTATCCCCCAGCAGGCAAGACCGGTCCTGGGCCTGAGAGGAATGTCCTAGACGGGGAGAACTGTCTCCTACTCTCGGTGGGGTGCCCTGCACCAGCTATAAATGGCAAGGAAGACTTGACTCAAGAGCATTACAGCAGGGGCAGAGATGGACTCAGCTCTGAACACAGTGGGGACACCTGGGGAATGACAGCCCATGGGCAAAGGGAGGGGCCGTGGATGGAAAATGATGACGTGGAATTCAATCATTTGTCAAGGGGAGGGGATTCGCAATTGGCTCCCTTAGGATTCTCTGCTAAAACTGAGTTCAGCAGGTCATGGTGGAGTCTGGTGGAGAAGAGCTCAGACAGAGGGGCCCGAGTGAAGGGCAGCCAGGGAGGGAGCCCTGTTCAGCGGCACAGAGGGCCTCTCGTCCTGGACTTGCTCTCGAGTTCACCGCTCGCTTCAGCCCAGTTGCCCTCATGGGCTCCCCTAGCACAGCCGATGTAATCCTGAGACTTCCTCAAACCCATTTAAAAGCAGGAGGACAAAGGGGAAGGAAACGCAGTGACCACACCAGGAGGCTTCTGCCCCGGCCAGGGCCCGTTCCTCTGGGTGGCCCTGGCTTGGGCCTCCAGTGGAGCCTCCTGCCCTGCGGATCTTCTGGTTTCTCATCTGCCCTCCCCTGATCCCTGCGAGGACGGTGCAGACCGACACACCAGAGGGGCACAGTTTCGGGCCACTGTTCCCAGACTTGCGTTGACTCCACGATGATCACCTCTGCCCAGGAAGTTGTCTCAGAGGGTTACCAGGAAGTGCACGGTCCAAGTGGGCATTGGGTCATCCCAGCCCCAGAAAGTCTTCAGCATCAGAGGGCTGCAAAAATCTGTGCCCCCCCGGCCCCCATGGGACAGAGTTCTGCAGACACAGGGCTTCCCAGCGGGGCCCCCGTTCCAACCCTCCTCGCTTCCAGGCACGAAGCTTGTTCTCAAAAGGACTGTGAGTGGAAGGGACAAGGGCCCCTTCCAGGCTGGGGTTTCTGAGACAGGGCTGGGCCGTCCCCCTGGCCACTTTCTTCCTCTGCCAGCTGCACACAGAGGGCTGTGACTACCCCTGAATAGCAGAGCCACAGGGGTCCCTGAGTCACCCAGGAGGAGGCCCACCTGCCCACCAGGAGCACCACATGGAGCTGTTCAGGAAGCAAGAGTTAACGGTGTTACACGAAGCCACTGAAATGCGGAGGTTTCGCTTGTTAGATGCTATTATAAGTTCCCTAATACGGCATGTTATAAATCATCTCTGGCTGTCTCTGAATACACTGTGTTTTCTAAACCCAAAGTCACAGAGTTTATTGCTGCCTCCTTTAAACCTCCGCAGTGCGTGGCTTTCCCTCCTGGATGTCACGCACCTGCCGGTTCCCTGCGGTTTGAGTACTGTCACCCTGAGCCGCACGTGGTGGTCACGCAGGGTCAGGGCTGGTCTGGCCATCACTGAGTCCTTGGGCCCAGCACAGGCTGTCTTCCGGTGGTTGTTTAGAAGAGAGACAGGGCTAATCGATCCTGATTGTCTCTGCCATGCTCCTCCTGTCTATTCTGGGATCAGTGGACGCCTCGTTCCTCTTGTTTTTCATTCGTGGGACTTTCATGGGAAGCTATTTCCCTGACGGCTGTTTGCACAGATTTTTCTGAGACGAGCAACATCCTTTGCGTCTTTTCCTCTAATCATCTGGAAATGCTGTGTCTCTTGGCATCGCTGTCTTGCCTGTCTTCCACCCACCAGCTGTCCAGCTCAGAGCGCTCTCAAGAGAGCTGGCTCTGGAAGAAGGATACAACCCCCTTCAGAAGGTTCTGAAATGTAGACTGCTGCCTCTCCTTGGGGCTGGGGATTGACGGGAAGCACGGTGTGGGAGAGAGAGAGAAGCAGGACTCACCTCTGCAGCCCAACGCTGCCTGCCGAGCAAGACAGGGAAGCAGGAGGTGGGGGGAGGAGAAAGACTCCTTTGGGGGCAGGGGTGTGAATTCACACCCCGCTCAACCATGGGCTGGCAGTTCCCCAAATGAGAGGAGACCCAAGATGCAGGAAGAATGAATACCTGATGCTTGCTCCCCTTTCGGGCCAGAGAATCATGCTGTTCATTTGACAGATGCGAAAACTGAGGTTGAGGGAGTTCAGGTAGTTGGGAAACTAAGACTCAGCGGGGAAAGTGATCTGGTCAGGATACATGTGGAGTGGTACAAGAAGGATGCAAACTCCAGCTCCTCTGACTGCCCCACTCTGCCCCTGACCACACCTTCACAGTGGCCATGGATATGTTCAAGAAGGATGGCAGCCCTGGCCTCCTGCGTCGGAGCTGGCCCCTCCCGGCGATCCGGCCCTCTCGTCTAAGAAGAAAAAGCCCTGCCCCATCACATCGTGGCCACGCCCCTCTATCTTCATGCTCCTGGGGCTCGCTGTCGGCTCCCAGGTGCCCCATGTTCACTGTGCCCTCCTGGGCCTGGTCCTTGTCTAGGGCCTCCTCCCTCCTTGCTCAAGCTGATTGAAGCTGATCTCTGTTCCAAGCAATCAAACTCCAACCTGAGACCCTGCCCCTGGTACCGCCCAGAGCTGCTGTTGGCTCCACGGAGACAGCATCTTTCTTTGCACAGCTGTACATGCGGAAGGGATGGGCTCGTTCGGAGTCAAGAGGGTGTCATTTGGGACAGTTCTGGACTGGGTCAAGGTCAGGAGGCCTTTCCACCATTGCAGTTTCCTTCTAGGGTATAAGATACACAAACAGCAACAGATCTGCCTCTAAAGCAGGGGAAAAAGAACAAGAAAAAAAAGTCCTTCTTAAAGCTTATTAGGAAGACAACATGTCGTGTTCACTCTTTTAGTGGAGCGACGATGCGGGGAAAAACATCACTGCATGTCTTCAGGGACTCTCCCCCACATGCTCATGGAGACACTCAACTCCGTTCCAAAGAACAAAGTTTAAATAGTTTGTAGGCGAGAACTTGATGAAAATTTGACATTTGATAAGAAACTAATTTTGGTGTGCCTTTTTAATACTTTAAAACACTATAGTAATAAACAACATCTATAAATGTCAAACTTTTCTATTTTGATTATGTTGCTTTGATTTTTATCAACTTTTTTTATTAAAAACCCACTGTAAATGAAATAGAGAAGGGAAGATCGGCACAAGAAGATAAATTTTACAGTTTATCGAGATGTAAGCGACAGCATCTCATTTTTTTCAGCACTGGGATTGTTATTATTTTTTGTCTCACTGTGGTTATTATGATGTTTTTATCTTTGTCTTCGAGTCTGGGAAACTTGCAGAGCTATGGGAACTGGGATTAAATTGCAGAGTGAAGGCGGCTTTCGCCTCGGCAGAGCAGAAAGACGCCAAGGTGGGCCAGGGACGGGGGAGGAGGGACGTGCTCAGATTATCTAGCTCTTTGGGTAGCTGCAAGAAGAGTAGAGTTAACTCTTCTAGGACCGTAGCCCCTCCCTGGCTGGTGCTAAAGTTCCTCTCTGAACCCCTGTGGGTTCCCCCACAACCACTCCCCATTCTGAGATTTCATGTTTAGTTGAAGCCTATGTGCTATGGCTGTCCAGGTTCAAGGGGGGATGGATCTAAGTCTGGTTTCCCTGTGTCAAACATGAAGGCAGTGTTTGTGAGTGCTGGAAGGAGAGGTGGAAGGAGATGTATAATTGGAGAGATGGATGGATGGATGGATGGATGGATGGATGGATGGATGGGCAGAAGGATGTATGGAAAAGTGGATTGACGAATATATAGATATATGGAAGGAGAAATGGATGAATGGAATGATGGAGGGAGAAAGAAGCAGATGAATGGGTGGGTGGATGGATGGACACACGGAGAGATGGATGGATGGGTGGATGGATGGATGGATGGATGGATGGATGGATGGATGGATGGACAGAAAAGTGGATAGATGGATGGAAGAATATATAGATATATGGAAGGAAAATGGGTGAATGGAATGATGGAGGGAGAAAGAAGCAGATGAATGGGTGGGTGGATGGATGGACATATGGAGAGATGGATGGATGGATGGATAGAAAAGTGGATGGATGGATGGAAGAATATATAGGTATATGGAAGGAAAATGGATGAATGGAATGATGGAGGGTGAAAGAAGCAGACGAATGGGTGGGTGGATGGATGGACACATGGAAAGATGGATGGATGGATGGATGGATACATGGATGGATGGATGGATGCATGGATGGATGGAAGGATGGATGGATGGATGGATGGATGGATGGATGGATGGATGGAAGAATATGTAGATATATGGAAGGAAAATGGATGAATGGAATGATGGAGGGAGAGAGAAGCATAATGGCTGAGTGGATGGATGGACACATGAAGAGTTGGATGGATGGATGATGGACGGATGGATGGATGGACGGACGGATGGATGGATAGACGAACGGATGGATGATTATATAAATGCAGGGAGATATGCATGAAGATAGGGAGAAAGGGGGAGGGAAGGAGAGTGGGCCTGTTCACTGGCTGGCAATTTTAAAACCACAACCTGTCAAGGCTTTAGTTCAGGCTTAATAACCTCCACAGATCCTTCTGGCTCTGAATTTTTTCAGTCCTCCAAAGTCATGCACAAAATAAAAGGGAAGGAAAATAAATCTCTTAAGGTAGCCTCTGTGTGCTTTTGAGAAGCAGTCACTTACAAAGACAACCATAATCATCATTTTTCTATTCCTTCCCCATTTGTAAAACATATCCACACCCTCATTTAACCCTTATAACTACTTGGAGATGAACATCATCTCCGCTTATCTGACCGGGGAACCGGAATTCAGAGAGCAAGGGTTTGCCCAAGGTCAGATTGCAAGTGACAGACAGGATCTGGTCCTGGAGAGCCGAGCCTTCTGGCCCCTCTCCCGCAACAAGTTCCATCTGTGGCCTCAGGAAGCCAAGCTTGCTGGAGGCCCACGGTGGCGGGTGGCACGCCAGACTCAGCTTCCTTTTGTGCAGTCTGGTGGGAAAGAAGGAGCCCAGCATTGCTGGAGAGAACTGGAATTCTTGCCTGAGATGCAGAGCTCCGGAGCTGTCCGGGCCTGTGAATTCCCCACTCCTGGAGGGCAGGTGGGCGAGGAGCTGATGCTATTCACCGTCAGGTCAGACGGTGCCGCAAGCCTGTTCTGAGAGGTTTGGGATCCGGAGGTTTGCGCACAATGGTGGCAGCAGCATAGACATAAAGCCCCAGTCCTCAGCATCAGAATCTGTGACTCTTCTGAAAATGTGACTTCAGTTCCACCAGCGCTGCAAGTGTGCTGAGCTTGGAGTGCTTGGAGTGCTCGGAGTGGGAAGGGAGGGGGGCTTGAGGGTCACTCACCGTCCGTGAGTGGTAGACAGAACTGGGTCCTGGAGCAGCTGCCTGTGCAGACCGGCAGGGCCACTGTGAGTGTGTGCTCATCTCCTGCAATTTATCATCCCATCCGTGTCTTCCGCTGTCGTGCTCCTTTGCTGAGAAAAGAAAATCTCGCAAGTCAGTAGGATTCCCACATGTTAGATGCCTCTGCACCCTTGAACTCCAAAGAGTTGGTGATCCCAGGAAGCAGCTCTGAAATACCTTCCATAGAACTCTCGAGCTGACCGATTGCTGTGCAATAAACAAAACCTGCAGACACCCCCACCCCCAACAGCTTAAGTTGCCACTGAGTGCTGAGAGCAAGGAGGGAGACCCGGACCACACCTCTGCCTCCCTTGCCTCCTTCATGGCCTCCCGCAGCCCTGGAAAGAGAGGGGACAGTGCCCCAACAGTGAAACAGGCCCTGGAGACAGAGGCTGGCCCTCTCTTCTCCCCTAGGGACTGTTGCTGCGTCGGAGAAACGGCCTTAGTTTTTGCACCTGTCCACCAAATTATCTATACTCTCTACTCTAGACAGCTCAGGTCTTGATTCGAGCAAACTTGGTAACTATTTTAGTTTGCTGAAAGACCCAGGTTGCCTGCAGCA